GGCTGATTCATGCATAAATTCATGCATGAACTCATCGTTGTTTTTGAAACTGAATCCCCGCACTTTTTTATACATGATCCGCACGCGGAGCAGGTATGAAAAACGGCACTGTGCGGAAAAAGTGGGTACACTGCCCAGCAAGAAATGTTGCCCCAGACCATCCAGCGGCCGCTGTTGGGCAGGCGGCCTTCTGTCTCGAATGGACACGGGGCAGGCGACCTTCTGTCTCGAGGCAGGAGTGGGGCAGGGCGGGAGCCAGGGCGGGAGCCAGGGCGGGAGACAGGGCGGGAGAGGCGGGAGCCAGTCGGGCGGTGGCCGGAACTGGGAAGGACGCGTCCGTGGCTCGGGATTATGTCGGGCGTGTCCCCCTCCAGGGGGATCTTCGACGAAGAATAAAAAATACCCCAGAAATGCCCCCAAAAAAAACAAAAATACTCAACTAAGTGTTTTATTTTTCGTCGAAAATCCCCCTGTAGGGGGACAGGCCCGACTTAAGCTCAGGAGGACGCGTCCGTATCTCAGAGGGGGAGCGGGAGGGGTGGTGCTTCGATATTCGGGGACACCTCCAGGCGTCCCCGCGAGCGCTTCGCGCCGCCACCAGAGCAGTGAAGCCTCTTGCGGTCGAGCCTGCGCATTACCCGAGAAAAGCAACAGCTTGCCAAGCACAGGAAGGATAGGCTAGCGGCTAACGCGATATATGTGGGCGGCGCGTGACAAGCATGTGCAGAGCTTGCAGGACGGTCTGCGGCCACAGAAGCTCAGGGACCGATTCCACTGAGAACGGAGCAGCAGCAAGAATACCATCATGAAGAGAAAGCGGGCAGAGGATGCAAAAGGAGTGCATCAAGAAACTTGCAATGCAATATGATATGCACCCTTTTGGCCACACCTTATTAGCGCGGGTATACTGTGCCTTTGCGCTACACCGCCTCGTTAAATTGCCTTTCCTTGTCCAAGCATTGCCCTCATCAGCGCCACCCTACTCCTGCCACTGGAGTCGCATGCTGACATGGCGTGCATGGGAACAGCAAAGGTATACATGCACACCAAGATGGGGCACCGCTAAGTTCTCTGTCCAGGCAACCCAGAAGGGCAAGTGCTCTGTGTAGCCTTCGTGGTAGCCTTGGATGGTCAAAATGATCGCCGCCATCGGTGGGAAACGAAGAAAGCTTCACACGTCTGCAGACACTGACCTGACTCTCAACGAATGTGTGCCAAAGACAAAGAGGGAAAACCGACGCCTTGGAGATGCGAGAACGCATGTGTGTTATACTGCACACTGCCAAGGTACGCGTGCGCACGAACGTGTCTCGCACGCACAGATGCCGCAGAAACATGCACCATGGGCTCGTGTCATGGCTTGGAAGCTCGAAGAAACACACATGTTCAACAGAAGAACATAATCAACATATGTAGTGAAATGTTCGTGCGAGATGCCTGGGCAACTCCTGGCTGGATTCGTCAGTTTGTAACATTCAGATTGGAACCTGTCTTTGGCCTGAGGAACTGTCAAGGAACTTCTGGGGGGCCGCTTGGGCCAAGATCAGCGCCGACTGGACCCGACTGGCCGCTGGCGCAAGACACGCCTCCTCCCTCTCCCTCGATCAAGGGTTCAGCAGGCCCAGCTCTTGAGGCACCCGCCAGTGATCCGACCAGGGCGCGCGTTCGGTGAGTCACTCGCGTGCAACATTGGTACGGCCTCGCGTGCAACACACACAGCAGCATTGGCATGGCCCCTGCGAAAAAAACGAGTGCAGAAGCCTGCGAACAGCTGCCAAAGGCCGATCCGCAAACCTGTGGAGAGGGCAACTTCGCACCACAGGCGAACCGTCTGGGGTGAGGGGCCCCTGCAGGTTTCCAGGGGCCCTTGTGCCGTCCGAGTGACGTCCGAGCAGACGGAGTCGCAAGACCACGCTGCATCGCCGATGAATCGGAGATGCTCCAGCGACATCGGGATGCAGAAGGCCGAGCTCCGCATCGAGCCGCATCGCCGTTTTGCATCGGCGGTGCGGAATGCCGAGCACTCGCAGCGAGGGATGACAGATGCGTGGGCCTGGCGATGTGGGCGTCGGATCCACGGGTCGTGGAAAGTGCCCCCCGAACAAATTCGGGGGAGGAGGAGGAGGAGGAGGAGGAGGAGGAGGAGGAGGCGGAGGAGGAGGAGGAGGAAGAGGAGGAGGAGGAGGAGGAGGAGAAGTAAAGCCAGCGCTGGCCGATCTGGAGAGGGAGCCCGCCGACCCTGCATGGAGGCCGGACCCGTCTCGCCCTCAGAGCTTGCGCTGCATCTGCGCCTCCGCGTGCGCGGCCTCCCCACCACATCTGCTCGGACCCCACGCGGGCGGCCCAGGGGGGGCGATCGATGGCGGGGGGGGGGGGGGAGAAAGGTGTACTTCCCGGCCCCTGGAAAGCCCCCTCCCCTTTGTTAGGGGGCCACATGCGAACCCTACTCCTACCCCCCACGATTTCTGAGGGGGAGGGTGGGGTTCACTTCGCTCGGGACCCTCCCACTCAGAAATCGTGGGGGGTAGGGGTAGGGTTCGCATGTGGCCTCCTATTTGTGGGCCCGAACGCGGGCCCCTCCTCCTGCAGCCCCTTGCTGCCGCCCCCGCTCATCGCCCCCCCCCGACCCACCCACCCCCACTCCCCAGAACTCCGATGCCTGGACCTGCTCCATGCTCGGCGCTGGACAAACCTCCCTTCGTAGACCTCCCCTTAGTGCAAACGGCCTGGGACCGAAACCGATGGACCTGGACCCGCAAAAGTGACCTCCCGCGAACCGAAAACGGCCAATTCACTACTCGACGTGTCAGGGTAGGAGGTCTGTCCAGCCCAGACATGCTGGATCCCCGGAGCTCCGGACCACTTCCCTGGGACCAGCTTGCCTCGCGGACAGGCTGCCCACAGACCAAGGACCCAGCGAGGGCCCCCACAGAGGCCGAAAACTGCCGAAAAAAAACAAAGCAAAAAAAAAAAAAAAAAAAACGGCCCAGGTGATCTCGACACGTCGTGGCGCGTGCACCGGAAGTGCGGCCGTCCGGAGCTGCCCGGGGCTGTACACACTCATGCAGCACACGCAGTCGTAGATCGGTGCTAATAATTTTCCTCCCCCTCCACCTCCTCCTCCTCCTCCTCCTCCTCGTCCTCTTCCTCGTCCTCGTCCTCCTCCTCCTCCTCCACCTGCTCGTCCTCCTTCTCCTCCTCCTCCTCCTCCTCCTCCTCTTCCTCCTCCTCTTCCTCGTCCTCATCCTCCTTCTCCTCGTCCTCTTCCTCCTCCTCTTCATCCTCCTCCTGCTAAGGTTTCATCATGACGAGGCGCCGTGCCATAAGCTGGCGCATGGCTGTGGTGTTGAAATCTCATGTCTAAATCATTTCTAAAGAGTAGCGATTGCTGATCCATCCCTCCGGAGACCAGTGCATTTTTCAATTAAAGTGCTCATCTGGGATTCGCAGCCTGCTTCTTTACAAGGAAATCTTTTTGGCTCAGATTAAGCACCTGGCCCCCGACGTACAGCAGCAACGGCTCCCGCCTGATGCTTCCTCGCAATAAGTAAACATGTACATATATAGAGAGATATATATTATAATATATATATATATATATATATATATATATATATATATATATATATATGCCTTAGCAGCTCTATCCCGTGGCCAAGACGGATTCACAAAAAACGGCAGACAGACGATCGTTTTTCCCGCACGTTTTGCTGTGGCGGAACTCTCACCGCCGGTGTTTAAAGGCAAGTGCGCCGTGGACCCAACAAGTCGAGACCGACGGCAGCTGCTGCAAGCCTCGCGGGATCCGAGAGGGCACGACTACTTCCTGGGAGGGTGGGCTGGGAGCACAAGCTCTCGAGCTTAAACGGAGACGGAAAAGGTTTCAATAGTGTTGTTGTCACAAAAACTCATTCAAACCTGCGGCCACTCTCTGACGCTGCTCTGCATTCCACAGTGAAACAGAACACATGCCTTAGCAGCTCTACCCCGTGGCCAAGACGGATTCACAAAAACCGGCAGACAGACAATCGTTTTTCCCGCACGTTTTGCTGTGGCGGAACTCTCACCGCCGGTGTTTAAAGGCAAGTGCGCCGTGGACCCAACAAGTCGAGGCCGACTGCAGCTGCTGCAAGCCTCGCGGGATCCGAGAGGGCACGACTACTTCCGCACTTGTCCAAAATTTGGCATCTCAGGGTGGGTTGGTAGGGCATATCCCCCCCCCCCACGGGCGGCGTTGAGGCGTCAGCCTAACCACGCGCGGGAAGATTTGCACATATCAGAGGCTGCACGTGCATTCGAAAAAGCGCGGGCCAAGTGGGAGCACAACTCAATGGGATATTTCTCCGCTTTCTTCGTCAACCATCCGCGCGGACCGTCGAAGCCAGACAAGGTAAGATGCGGCAATCCAGTTCGGCAGCAGCGCCAGCCAATACACCGTCTGTGGATATCGGACAGGTCGATGCGGCAGCCTAAGAATCTCGTAGGTTCCTTCCACTTCTCACCGAACATGCAGAAGCAAGTGTCAATGCAGGAGGCCGATCGCCACGCTCTGGCCTTGAGAAGGCGTGGGAGCAGCCAGAGCCGCGAGGTCACTGGGTTCTCTAGGGTGACGGGGCGCTGCTGGTGCTTGAGCTGCTCGAGGATGCCGATGCTCAGCCTGGCCAGCTCGTTGCCCACCCGGACGGCCTCCGGGTCCGCAGGATGCAGCAGCTCTGGGAGGCCGAGCAGGCGCTCGTCGCTCCTGAGCCTGGAGGGCGGCCCAGGCCGCGGCCGCTGCGGGCCCCAGATCGGGCCCCCGTCGCGGGCCCGGCTCCAGGCGTTGCAGGGCGCCCCCAAGTGCGCGCCCCAGATCAGCCCCCCGGCGATCCACCCGCGAGTGAGCTGCTGGTTGGGCTTCAGCATCAGGTCCCAGCTCGGGCCCCGCAGCACGAACCGCTCCAGCGCCAGGTGCCCGAGCTTCCTGAGCTCGGCGGCGAGGCGCCCGCAGCCGCTGAAGATCTCTAGAAAGACCTGCGGTCGCTGCCTCGCCCCGCGGTGGGCGGAAAGGAGGCGTTCGAAGGCCGCCCTAGGAGAGTCCGCAGGCGCGCGGGGGCCCCCATCGCCTTTGCCAGCACGGGCGCGGGCAATCGGCGGAGCTGCTCCGACACCCGACCCTCCTTTCGGTATCGCTGCACGGCGGCGTCGCTCATCCACCGCCCGCGCAGCTTTATCTCCGCCAGCGTGCGTCTGCCGATGGCCTGGTCGAAGGAGGGGCCGCTGTGCCTCAGCATGTACAGCTCGGGCCGAAGCAACTCGATGCCGCACCGCTGCCCGGCCAGTCGAAACCTCTGGATGAAGTCGGCCTGGCTGAAGGCGAACGGGCACTGCTGGGGCGGCGTGCAGGCTCTCAGCCACGCCAACGCGGGGTCGAGGAGCAGCTTGAAGTCTGGCGCGTCCACGACCACGGTCTCGTCGAACTGGTGCGTCTTGCTCGCGACCGTGAACTCGAACGGGTGGAGCACCAGCGACCAGTTGCCGTACCGGCTGCCCCTGAGGGGCGGCACCATCATCTCCCGCTTCAGCTTGAAACCCCCGCTGGGCCTGAAGTAGCAGTGGAAACTCAGCACCACCAGCACGGCTGTCGTCCAGTACCCGTCCAGCACCAGCTGCTCCGCGAGCAGCGCCACCGCCTCCCACGGCAGCGGAAGGCGAGCGCGGCCTGGCGCGAGCCGGCGCCACCCGCGGAGGGACTGCCCCGCCCGCGGCAGGCTGCGACCCCCGGACTTGCCGAAGGCAGGCAGGTGGAACTTCGCCACGGCCATCATCTGCGACCCGACGTACGCCTGCTCGCCGTTCAGGAACTCCTCGTCCATCCAGAGAGCCAGCCAGTCGTCGAGGTGGTCCTCGAACGTCGCCCCCCGAGCCTCGCGCCCCCGAAGCTGCACTGCCTCGGGCGCGCACGCCAGACGGCGCCACTCGAGAAAGCGACGCCAGGCCAGCTCGTACTTGGCCAGAGTCAGCGCCGTCACCGAGCGCTGCTGCAGGCGGGTCTGCCCCGCCGGGGGAGCCCCCCGCGAGGCCTCCTGCCTCTGGCGCCGCTGCGCACGCGCCCGGCGCGCGCCGAACTGAGGCGGCGGCCGCTCTGCCTTCGGCGCGGCAGCCCGCGGCCGGCGAGCAGCAGGCAGGCGCCGCTTGGTCCCCGCTCCAGACTGGGGCCACGGGCCGCCGCCGTCGCCGCGCGGCAAGGCCGCCTCCGGCGGGGCCGTCGGCGTCCAGCTCGCGGAGCTCCGCGGCAACGGTTTGGCAGTCACGGCGGTGACTGCCCTCGGCTCCGTCACGAACAGGCCAGCGGCTCCCCTCGACAGCGTCGGCGCCACAGACGAACGGAAGGCGGACGCCGATGGGCACGCGCCGCCGCGAGGGAGCATCAGCAGGGTTGCGCTCCGAAGGCAGCCAGCGCAGCGTCGGCACGAGCGCCCCCGCGAGGCACCACGCTGCCCATTGCCGTGCGACCCGCATCAGGCCAAGAGACGAAGACCGGCCCTTGGTAAGAGCCAACACCGATGACAGGCTGTCTGACAGGAAGAGCACCCGCTTTCCGAACATCCGGCTGTCCCTCAGGGCGTGACGTACGGCATGAACGAGGGCCCGACCTTCGAGAACCACGATGTGTTCAGGACGTCCCCAGCCCCCGCTCGACACGACCTGCCACTCCCCGTCGAGCACCGCCGCCGGCACGTCGAGCACCGGGCTGGGCCCTCGCGGGCCCGTCGGCGCCTCCTCGCCCAGGCAGCCCCTGGGCCGCACTGGCCCCGCGGTCCCGGGCGGCCCGCGAAACCTCCAGCGATCACTCTCCTGGCCCAGAGCCCGCGCCCAGCCGAGGTCCACCTCCCGCTGCACGACCCCGCGTCCCTGCTCACTAGCGTCGGTGGCGTACACACGTGTCCCCCACTCGGCCCGCAGATTTGCCCATAAGAGCGGCAAGAGACCTACGGCCCAGCGAAGCTCCCGGCGAACTCCATCCGACACCGGTCGAGCAACGTCTCTGTACTTAGTGGCGAAACGATAAACTGAGTCGAAGATTGACAGAAAGGGCCTCCGAGCGAGCCCCGCAAAAGTGAAATGACCTACGATCCTACTTACTTGTCCACCTGTGGCCACCCCCTGGTCGAGAAGGGCCAAGGTCCCTATCCTCAAACGCCAGAGCCTTCGGGCCCGCGGCCTCAGGACGCCCCGAGAGCCCTCGAATTCCCACCCAAGACTTTCGAAAGCCATGGAGGCCTCTTCGGGCTCATGCAGAGGCAGACCAGCAGCGGACAGCGACCCCGTCGCTTTAGCCAGGAGCTCGTTGGCCCGCTCGGCGGAGGTGGCGAAGCCTAAAAAAAAAATGATCAACATATTCGGCGTGCATCCCACTGCTCAGCGGAGGTGGGACCCGACCGTCGACAAAACGATCACTATCTCCCAAACCCGCTCGCTCGCACAACACAGTCTCATGCACACGCTGACAAAAGGCTAGAGCATGAGACCACCCCATCGGAAGGACTGCAAAGCGTGGCCTAACCCAATCACGAGGACCGAGAGGCTGTCCCTCCAGCTCAGTGATCCCCCAGAGGATCCATAGATCCCAACAGGGGATATGCTATGTAAACGCATGTTAAACATAACATGTAAGAGCTCCGGGATCGAACATATTATCATAAAATCAAACGGGATCTGCTATGTAAGTACATATGGTAAACACCTAGTGCGACCACCATCGGGTTACCACATATCAGAATATATGTTTTGTTCATTCTTACATCAAAAAAAAACAACCCCTAAGTGCAAGCATTGTTTGGGAAACCGTGATGAAGAGGGGATTCGGGGGGAATCCGTGTTGTCTGCGGACCTCGGATCGAACTTCGGCGTGGACCTGCAGAGGAGGGATCGGAGGAACGGAAGAGAAGAGAAGGGCGGCGAGGAGGGAGATGGGATCGGGAGGGGTCGGGAGAGAAGGAGGATGAGGATGAGGATGAGGATTATGAGGATGATGATGAGGAGGATGAGCAGGGAGAGGGGGAGGTTAATGCGTAGGAGGAGAAGGGGGACGAGGAGGGGGATGGGGGACGAGGAGGGGGAGATCGTGTAAGTGCAGAGTTTCTGTAGAAGCAGGTACATGTCCGCACTCACGATTGCAGCTTTAGCCGTTTTGGCTCACTTCTATGACCATTTCTTGGAAGCGCTGCAGCCCCAAGAAGTGCTGGCGAACGCCCATCGGCCAGAGCTTGATGGCAGGCTCTTCCCAGCGCACGGCGATCGACACGGCGGCCGCGGACGCGCCGAGGACCGCGGTGGACCTGGTGGAGACCAACGACATGATCCCAGGGTCGGAGTGGGAGGCGTGCACCGATGAGTCGGGCGCCGAGAGAGCGATTGCTGAGGCCGAGACGCTCGATAGCGATGACGAGGACGACCGCCCGTTGGTCACAGGCGGCGTCTCGGACCACAGCGGCCCCAGGCAACCCGATCTCCCGTTGTCGCCGCTCTCGCATGCGATCGTCGAGAGCTTGGCAGAGCACGATGAGAAGCAGAAGAAGGACCAGCAGCTCGTCGAGGAGGAGGAGAACCTCGTCCAGGCGACGCTCGAGCGCAGCCAGATCGAGAAGCGCGGCCGCCCCCCGAGCCCTGGTCATCCTGACACGCGCAGGAGGCCCCCTCGGACCCCACGGGCACGGGCGAGGGCTATGTGGCAACGCCGCTGCGCACCCCCCAGCCGACGAGGAGGTCGAGGTCCCGCTCGAGGTCGGCGCCCGCGGCACCGATAGCGCCGACATTGCCCGCATGGCGCCAGCAGCAGCATGCTGAACGTGACGCTGAGCGCGCTGAGGAGGCCCGCGCCGCTGCCGAGTCAAGCGGCGGCCGCGCCGCGAGCGCCGAGCCGGGCGAGGCCGCAGCGGCGGCGGCTCCGACGGTCGCTTCACCCTCGGAGGCGGCGTTGGGGGTCCCACCTTCGGCAGCCACCACAATCGCCGCCGCCGCCCCGATCGGCGCGGCCGCAGCCTCGGCAACCGTCGGCAAGGACGGGGTGTCAAATTTGAAATCGGCTGGAGGAGGTGAGGATGGGCGGGCGTTATGAAGGGAGGTGGATGGGGGAGGAGAGTGGCGAGGGCGAGGAGAACCGGGGGGGAGGGCGGTGGCGAGGGTGAGGACGAGGGGGATGAGGGTGGAAACGATGCTGGCGAGGGCGAGGGAAAATGAAACATCTGTGGAGGATGAGGAAGACGAGACAGGTGATGAGGATGAGGAGGGGAAGATGGAGGAATGCGCGGAGAAAGGATCCCACGCGATCAGACGCCAGGGAGGCGCCCACGTTCACACGCGAAATCACATGCATATGATTTCGCGTGTGACCTGCGCGCTCGTGCATGTTGTTCGCTCCACGGGGCCGCAATTTGCACTCGAGGCCAGCCCCGCCATCCTCGCCCCCATCCCCCCCATTGCATCCGCCAGGACACGCCCCCCAAGACGTCGCGCGAGCAGAAGGTGGAGTTCGTGAAGGACTTGGTCAAGCGTGTTCAGGCGGGCTTTGTTTGCTTTGCTTAGTCGTCGCCCTCGCCCTGCTCCTCCTCCTCCTCCTCCTCCTCCTCCTCCTCCTCCTCCTCATCCTTCTCACCGCCATGCCCTCTGTATTTCAACGGTCGGCATGGTGTTGCTGCCATCGCTCACTCCATCCTCCCTCCTCGCTCTCTTCCTACTTCTCCCTGATCCTCGACCCTCCGTGACCTCCCTCGTTCCCCCCCCCCCCCACTGCTCTCCTGAGCCTCGCCGCCATCATTATCATCGTTCTGAACCTCCGTCCCGCGCCATCATTATTATCGCCGATGTCATCGTTGCATCGACGCGCCGCCGTCGCGCATAGCCACGGTGGTGCGAGGCAGCGCTGGCGGGCGGATGGGCAGCTCGGTCGGCGCGATCATTAGTTTATAGATATCCGATGACCTCTCCCGTCGAGAGGTTGGCAGCAGTCTGGGCGTTCCACATCGCGAAGGCAAGTGACTACGCAATGCCCCCCCCCCCTTCTCCCCGAGACGGCCCACGCGGGCCAAACATATGCGACAATAATTTGTCCATGCCTCACTTCAACCGTCTCCTCCACATAATTGGTGCTGCCAATCGTCCAATTCCGTCCCAAGTCCTCTCCCATCGCTCACTCGCCCCCTCACTCGGGTGGTCCACCGTTGCTGGCCCAGCGCTACCTCATTGGGCAAGACCCCCAGGCAGAGCAGATTGACTACTCAACAGCTGCGGTGCACGATGCCCCGCTAGACCGAGATGCGCTGGTGAAACACAAGACCCTCATCTTGGCAACGCGCCAAGTCCTGAAAGATTGTCCAGAAATGAAATCAAAAATCGACAAGACCGTCGCAGAGGAGCCCAGGGACCCACAATGCAAAATGTTCCCCTTCAACCTACCTGATGAGGAGGGGGCGGAGGCAGGAGGAGGCAGGGGAAGAAGGAGGAGGAGGAGGAGGAGGAGGGAGTAGGAGAAGGGAGGAGATGTTGGATGCCCCGAGGATGCACTCAAGAAGGTGGCATCTCACCACGAAACGTCCTGGAAGCTGGCCGACACCCAGTTTAGCTGGGCAGCGAACAGGGGCAAAATGATTCGGAACATGGTTCGACACGTCAGCCAGGGCCTGATGAAGACTGCTGGGTCTAACATGCAATTCGGGGTGGTTCGGGTCGGCGTCAGCCTGCTGCTTGCAGCTTTCTCGGCCTCGCAGGGGGGATACATAGGCAGCGGGCGCGCGGTGGGGGGGCATTCTGAATCCCTGAGGAAATATATCTGGTCAGAAGAGTTCTTGCTGAGCGGTGAAACCAAGCAGGACCTTGGCTCAACACAAAAGGTAACATCTGTCCCCCCCCCCCCCCCATTTCCCCCATCGCATCTTCGGGTGCAGGGTTGCGTGGCCAGAGGGCGCTGAGCAGGCTGCCATGGCGGCCGCCGACTCGGCCGCAGACGAGGGCGAGCAGCCCCGAGATGAGGAGCCGGCGAAGAAGAAGAGCAGGAACCTCCCGCCGCACATGCAGGTGAAGGCCGTCATCGACGAGTGGCAGCTTGGCTGGACTCCACAGACGCAGGCAGGGGCGGTCAATCGAGCACGGTTCGAGATCTCACTGATCGATCACGTTGCGACCGTCGCCATCGGAATACATTCGGTCCGTTTTGGACGAAGTTGCATTGATAACTCCGTCCAGACACGTCGGCCACATAAGGCCATTCGGATTCACATGCAATTTCATATGCATGTGAAATTGCGTGTGATTCTACTCCGATGGCGACGCTCACGGCGCGATCCCGATCGGTGCAACCTCGAATCGCCATGCCCTGTCGCCGCCCAGCAAGGCTGCTTGGCGCGCCATGAAGGGTGAGCTTGTTCCTGAG